GGGTAATTTGTAATTTTTTTTCTTAGCCAGATGATGATAACATTTGGGGTAATGGGTCTTTGACATCCTTCGTTACAACGAGACCTACATATAAAGACCCAAGTTCCTCTCTGGCAAAGTACAGAATCTGCATTTTCTCAAGGTCCAAGGATGATAATTATCAATGGTTGGTGAGATCCCTGCAGACAACCAATACGGGGAGGTCAGTAGATGTGCGTAGTGTCTACATCTCCAACAACTTCCAATTGTTTTACTCAGAGATGCTACAGTGCAACTTTGCTATCCTCTACCACACCAAGAAACAAGGAAGACTGAACATCACCGACGTCACCGACTCCCTGTACGACCAGGAGCTGAGAGAGATATCTGAGTATCTTGGTGAGACTGAACAATGTGATCTGCTGTAATGTCATAAATTTTACTGAAATTATCATAAAGGAAATGGTAGATTGAATTTTGTCTTAGGAAATCTAAATAGACATGAAGGATTTCAAGAAAGTAAAAGCGAGTGTCAGGCGCCGCCTGACGGAATCTCTAGTGATCCACAGAACGGGATTCCCCAGGACGCGGAGTCTAAGTCCCAGTCTGCCTTTTCACCAGAGCCCCTGATGGTGGGGATGGACTTGGTGCGAGACTGAAACCAGGTCGCGACCCCTGAGTGCACCCAACTGTGGTAGAGGGGTCCCGCCGAGGCTAAGTGCCGGGGAGGGGTGAGCCTGCTGTGAAGAGGCTGACAAGTCCAGGTCCCAAACGGGATGGATGGATGACAGTCAGGAATGAGCGTAGTCAGACTAGCCAGGTCGGTAACGGTGGAGGCAGGTAGGTACCAAACAGTAGACAGAGAGCAGCCGGGTCACGAGCCAAGGTTCAGCAACAGGAGGTCCAATAGTAATATAGCAACAGGCAGGAGAGTAGTCAGGGACGAGCTGGGGGTCAGAGCAGGAGAAGGTCAACACAAATCAGGACAAGCAGGATCGGCAACAGGAACACACTTCAGAACACGGGTACAGGAACTAGACCTTGTGGCAACCTAGTCACAGTCTGGCCAGTTTAAATAGTGCGCCCTGCACCGTCATTGGTGCAATTGCCGACGCCGACGCCCAGGTCCTAGTGCCTGCACATTAGTGCACCTAGGCAATCTGTGTATGTGCAGACCTGTGCGCCGCTGCGAGACCCGCAGTCCCTGACAGCAAGCTCATACACATAGGATATTTAAAGAGTAATAGTTATGCCAGATATCCGCTAGCACTAAAAGGGTATGGGTAACAATCCCTCGTAACGTAATCACAAAATTGAAGAATGCAGCGCTTTCTCAAATTATATATGTGACGGGAGTGACTTTGGGTGGGGGGCCCATGGAACACAGCTCCCCTTAGAGAGGTGGGGAGACCCCTGTCTCTGCTCCCCATATTCCCATTATGTGTGAGTCACCCTGTGCCTGTTAGGGGTACAGGGTGGAATGTCCTAGTATTGTGTGGACATGTATAGGTGGGGTGTGGGGGGTGTTCATTGTTTACTGCCATGTGGTTGTTCCATTGTTCTATTGTGTCTTGCTTGCCAGCAAACTATTATGGGATGCATGTGTTCCTGTATTGTCTACTGCCACCTGGTGTATCCCATTTTTCTATTGTGTCTTGCTGGCCAGCAAACTATTATGGTATGCATGTGTTCCTGTATTGTCTACTGCCATGTGTTGTATCCCATTGTTCTATTGTGTGTCTTGGTTTGGGGGGGGTGTTTCCGGCAGCCCTTCCCCCTGCTGATGTGTTTGCTGTTACTTGGTGTATTTCCCCGCCCTGTGTATATATCTTGTGTTAAAACAAAGCAGTTCACTTGCTGTCTTAAGAAGCCTGGTGCTGTCTCGTCCTGTATGGTCAGCGGTGGGGTCCGTGGATAGGTGTTCAGACAGGGAAGCGGAAGTATAACGGAAATACCCTAGCACAGTCAGGGTCTGTTTCCATTACAATATACTTATCTATATATATAAGCCTAGGCAATTAAGGCCAGGAAGTGTGTTACTGGCAGGAGCAACAGGTGAAATAAAAGAGAAAAGCCTAAATAGGGGAGCTGTCCCCCACATCATTCTTTTTTTTTACCACATCATGTCCTTGGTCTTCTGTGCAGGTTGTCATACACATCCTTTTAACCATAACTTTATCAGTCTGCCCTCTCCTCCTATCAGCATCTCTCTTGTTGACACATGAGAATGGTTGTATAGCTGATTGGCTCCTTGTAAAAAAAGAAAAAAAAAATACATTTCAGAGTTCAGTCTAGGATGACCTGTTTAGTCTTCAGTGATATAAGGATGGCACTATTTGTTGATTATGAGTGCGTCCAGAGAATTTGTGAGCTAAATCCCAATGTTTTAGCTTGTAGAACGGGGGTCAGCAACCAGCAGATCTCACTCTACCAGTAGACTGGTAGAACACGATCCAGGCTTGCTGGGCCACCATCCCAGAGTGTCAAACAGAATGCAATGTTGAGGGATGACTTGTAAAGTTGGATCTGTAGTAGGGAGCGAGAGCCACATAAGCCAATGTCTCCTCTGTAGTGGCTCCTGTCCCATGTAGTGCCGGCTCCTGTCCCATGTAGTGTCTGCTCCTGTCCCATGTAGTGCCGGCTCCTGTCCCATGTAGTGTCAGCTCCTGTCCCATGTAGTGTCGGCTCCTGTCTCATGTAGTGTCGGCTCCTGTCCCATGTAGTGCCGGCTCCTGTCCCATATAGTGTCGGCTCCTGTCCCATGTAGTGTCGGCTCCTGTCCCATGTAGTGCCGGCTCCTGTCCCATGTAGTCCCGGGTTGCTGTCCCATGTAGTGTCGCTCCTGTCCCATGTAGTGCCGGCTCCTGTCCCATGTAGTGTCGGCTCCTGTCCCATGTAGTGTTGACTCCTGTCCCATGTAGTGTCGGCTCCTGTCCCATGTAGTGTTGACTCCTGTCCCATGTAGTGTCGCTCCTGTCCCATGTAGTGCCGGCTCCTGTCCCATGTAATGCCGGCTCCTGTCCCATGTAGTCCCGGTTCCTGTCCCATGTAGTGTCGGCTCCTGTCCCATGTAGTGTTGACTCCTGTCCCATGTAGTGTCAGCTCCTGTCCCATGTAGTGTTGACTCCTGTCCCATGTAGTGTCGGCTCCTGTCCCATGTAGTGTCGGCTCCTGTCCCATGTAGTGTTGACTCCTGTCCCATGTAGTGTCGCTCCTGTTCCATGCAGAGTACCAACTGCACTCCACCTCTTACCCCGGCTAGCGGTCTCCAGAGTGGGGCCAGCAGCAGGAAAGATCTTCAGGTCAGTATGAAGCAATACACTGGGCATAATAGTATAGGGCTGCTTTGACATTGATGTGTTGTGGTTTGTGACACGGTAGTACGCCAATTAGAGGTTTAAATTTGTGCCAGGTGATCTTTGACTTCTCTCATGTTGTTCAGGTAGATCTCTACCTCCGAAAATTTGCCTATTTGCCTACCCCTGCTGTAGAGTATGTTGTTCCCATTATTATGGCATGGGGGTAGAGTTCTCCTCCTGTGATTGGAGTCCAGAGTGACTGTGTCCTCCTGTTACAGGAAAGGAGAATGTCATTGTGGTGGCTGATGATGTGATGGACGCCAGCAATGCAGAGAAGCAACGGATACTGAAAAACCAGCCCAGCATTGGATCTCTGGCCAAAGATCTGTTCCTGTTCGGAGAGCAACAAAAAGACTGCAAAACTCTGCTAGAAATAATGACCCTTACACAGAGGAATGGTGAGTATCTACATCTATGTGACTGTGATGGCTGTACTACTGTATACTATGAGCAGTGCCGGGACAAGGTCATCTCGTGTCCAATGAGAAGGTGGCAAACTGCACCCCACCCCCCCCCCCCCCCACCATCCTAGAATGGAGGAGGGGATGGGGTAATAGTGGCGTGTATACTATGAGCAGTACCGGGACAAGGTCATCTCGTGTCCAGTGAGAAGATGGCAAACTGCACCCCACTCCTCCCTCCCCCACCACCACCCACCCTAGAATGGAGGAGGGGATGGGGTAATAGTGGCATGTATACTGTGAGCAGTGCCTGGGGCAAGGTCATCTCGTGTCCAATGAGAAGATGGCAAACTGCACCCCACTCCTCCCTCCCCCCCCACCACCACCACCCTAGAATGGAGGAGGGGATGGGGTAATAGTGGCATGTATACTGTGAGCAGTGCCGGGGCAAGGTCATCTCGTGTCCAATGAGAAGATGGCAAACTGCACCCCACTCCTCCCCCCCCCCCCCCACCACCACCACCACCCTAGAATGGAAGAGAGGATGGGGTAACAGTCCCTTCTAGCACACATTGTCTTCTATCCCAAATCAACACTACAGCACAAATACTGCTCCCCAATCATCCTTTCTATCACAAATCCTCAAACCCCCCCCCAGCACAAATTCCCCCCAACATAAATCCTTTTACTCCCTAAATCCTTCCTTCTACCACAAATCCTCATATATACCCCCCCCAATTCCCCTCCTACAAGCAGAAATCCCCCCCTTGCAAATGCTCTAAATTCCAGCCACCCACCCCATCTTGTCCATTTAGCACAAATCCTCTTATTCCCCCCCCCATGTATAACCCTCCCAGGCTGCTGCAATGTCAGTAAACACTGTGCTGGGGACCCAGGGACACCCCGCTGGAGATGAAGACAAGTGCCCAGTACTAGCGTTCACCAACACTGCATCTGCCAACTAGCACCCCATCCTCCATGTTAGCACACTGCACCAGAGGCACATGGCCCTTCTGCCCCCTAGAACCTGTCCTGTTATTGAAGAACTTATCAAAGCAGGAAAGTGATATAAATATGTAGATTAGGAAAATATAAATATATATATATCTCATAGAGAGGATTTCCTTCACTTTGGAGATATTTCCTGTCATTTCCTGTTGTGAGTTCAGGGCAGAAAGTGAAAGGAAGTTTCCCAGATTGGACAAAGATGAAAAAAACTGACAGGGGTTTCATCTTTCTCTACTTTAAAGTGTTACTAAACCCCGGACCCCGCATTCACTAATCCACTCTCCCGGACCCTGCATTCACTATATCCACTCTCCCGGACCCCGCATTCACTATATCCACTCTCCCTGGACCCCGCATTCACTATATCCCACTCTCCCCGGACCCCGCATTCACTATATCTCTCTCCCCGGACCCCTGGACCCCGCATTCACATATCTGCTCACCCAGATATCCACTCTGCTCTCCCCGGACCCCGCATTCACTATATCCCCCTCTCCCCGGACCCCGCATTCACTATATCGCTCTCCCCGGACCCCGCATTCACTATATCTGCTCTCCCCGGATGCATTCACTATATCCACTCTCCCTGGACCCCTGGCTCTCCCCGGACCCGCATTCACTATATCCGCTCTCCCCAGACCCCGCATTCACTATATCGCTCTCCCCGGACCCCGCATTCTATCCCCAACCCCGCATTCACTATATCCCTCTCCCTGGACCCTGCATTCACTATATCCGCTGTCCCCGGACCCCGCATTCACTATATCCGCTCTCCCCGGACCCCGCATTCACTATATCCGCTCTCCCCGGACCTCCCCGGACCCCGCATTCACTATATCCGCTCTCCCCGGACCCCGCATTCACTATATCCTCTCGCCCCGGACCCCGCATTCACTATATCCACTCTCCCGGACCCTGCACATTCACTATATCCGCTCTCCCCGGACCCCGCATTCACTATATCCGCTCTCCCCGGACCCCGCATTCACTATATCCGCTCTCCCCGGACCCCGCATTCACTATATCCGCTCTCCCCGGACCCCGCATTCACTATATCCACTCTCCCCGGACCCCACATTCACTCCGCTCTCCCCGGACCCCGCATTCACTATATCCGCTCTCCTTCTCTCCCCAGCATTCACTATATCCGCTCTCTCCCCCCGGACCCCGCATTCACTATATCCGCTCTCCCCGGACCCTGCATTCACTATATATTCTCTCCCCGGACCCCGCATTCACTATATCCGCTCTCCCCGGACCCCCACTGCATTCACTATATCCGCTCTCCCCGGACCCCCCCGCATTCACTATATCCGCTCTCCCCGGACCCCTGGCATTCACTATATCCGCTCTCCCCGGACCCTGCATTCACTATCCCTCCCTCTCCCTGGACCCCTGCATTCACTATCCGCTCCCCGGACCCCTCCCTTCCCCGGACCCTGCATTCACTATATCCGCTCTCCCTGGACCCCACATTCACTATATCCGCTCTCCCCGGACCCCGCATTCACTATATCCGCTCTCCCCGGACCCTGCATTCACTATATCACTATATCCGCTCTCTCCTCGGACCCCACATTCACTATATCCGCTCTCCCCCTCCTCCATTGCCTATCTGTATCTAGGTATCCACTTGCCCTTACTGACCCCGTGTAGTATCCGCGCCACACATTGCATCCCTTTTTATATCGAAAAATGAAAGCCTCGGTTTGACTTGAATCTCCCCATATATATAACTATATATACAGTATAAAGGTCCATATAACTCAATTGTGAAAATAGTCCATCCACCATACTATATAAACAAATAGTGTTCAGTCCTTGCATTAAATAAATTTAAAACAGTCTTGTGCTTCAATCCACACCACTGTGCATATCACCCGGTGAAATAAAAACCTCTTACCAGAAGCCAAGACCTCATATACAAGGTCTAATACCGCTTTAGGGAAATCCCAATCAGAGATGGAAGGATCAACACCTGGATTCCAATGTCAGCCCTTGAAAATACAACCTCACTCACAATACAGTCGTCAGGCTCACAATCCAAACTCAAAAATGGAGCGGTCAGCAAACCGACATGTGACAGGGAAAGGGATCGCTCAAGGTGCAAATATTTAAAACTATTTCATCTTAAAATAGTCTTGTACTTACAAACAGAGAGAAATATAAGGCACAACAAATTTACAGTGTCCAGTGCCACAGTGGGCGTAATGACTTCTCCACCCATCGCGTTTCGTCCTACAGGACATTGTCATTGGGGCAACAGAGATAGTGGTGCAGTTCTCCATCAGGGGTTATATAGGCTCTCTTTTCAGTCCCCCAGAGGGCGCTCAACCCAACTGATCAATTATAGATAATGGCTGCGGGAAGCGATCGCCATATTCAAGGAGACCAACCACTATGGCCGCCATGTTCTGAATGATCCAAAAAGCTAAATATTTGCCAATCCAAATAATATGATAGGTAAAATTTAGGTAAGTACTTAAAAGTAAAAAAAAAATAAAAAATACAATAAGATTGTCTATTGTCCTATATAAATCTAATACCCTAAAAAATATAATAATATTAATGGATATTCAATCCATCAAGCACCCTCTAAGGGCATAAAAGTATACATACAAATTTATATACATCCATTAAAAGATATATATCTAATCTGATTAAAAAATGAGACCAGAGATGTTTGAAAATACTACAAAGAAAAACCCAAACAAAAAATTCAACCACTAAAATTGAACTATTGTTGATAAAACCAATTGATGTCCCACTTCATGTTCAATCCTAACGAGCAATGGGTTTTAAGTTAAAAAAATCCAGCGAGTTTCATGTCTAGAGATCTCTCTAACATTATTAATGCCCCTCCAATGCGATGAAAAAGTGTCAATTCCAATTACCTTCAAACAGGAGGGATCCTTGTGGTGTTTAAAGGAGGAGAAATGTTTGGACAAACTGTGATCCCCAAAACTTTCTGACCTGCAGGTGCTTGTCAACTCTCACCTGCAGCGTCCTGCCCACAAATTGCAGGCCACAAGAGCACTGTAGGAGGTACATAACATTTTTTGTAGAACAGGTTATAAAACTTTGATCTTATAGGTCTTATTTGTAACCCGGGATTTAAATATTTGAGTTCTAGTTGTGTTTAATCCACAGCATCTACACACTAGACATCTACAGCAAGGAAAAAATCCTTGTAAATTTTCAGAGAGGGTTTTTTTTTTAGATTGTTCAATAACATTAGGAGCCAATAAGTATCTTAAAGCTGATGCTTTTTTTGTAAATGAGGGCTATTAGGCAAAACTGGACCTAAAACTTGATCATTTTTTAAGACTGCCCAATGTTTCCTCAGCAATCTATTAACTATGAACTGGATGGACTTTTGTCTTTTTTCAGCCAGACTAACTATGTAACTATGTAACTAGCTTGTGTTGACTTGAATATGTGGTAATGAAAGACCATTCAAAACCACCTCCTGTTTCATCTCTCACCCTAAATATCAACAACTCCCCCCAATCCAGAGTGGCCACCTCCTGAATAATCTCATCTAAAGGTTGTGCCAAACAACCCTTATCAACAAAACATCCTGATTGTGTCATGGAATTATCCACCTCAAACAGTTGCAACAAATCTAATTTGCGCAGGATAATATTCTGTTTTTATTACTTTATTTTTTGCCTTCGTGGAGGTGCACAGTTTTGAGGCTTGATATACACTGCTCAAAAAAATGAAAGGAAGACTTTTCAATAAGAGTCCAGTATCAAGTCAATGAAACTCCTGGGATATTAATCTGGTCAGGTAAGTAGCAGAGGGGGTTGTTCATCAGTTTCAGCTGCTTTGGTGTTAATGAAATTAACAACAGGTGTACTAGATGGGCAACAATGAGACAACCCCCAAAACAGGAATAGTTTTACAGATGGAGACCACTGTAATTTTTTCCCTACTCATCTTGTCTGACAGTTTTTCACTGGTTTTGCATTTGGCTAGGGTCAGTGTCACTACTGGTAGCATGAGGCCATACCTGGACCCTACAGAGGTTGCACAGGCAGTCCAAATCCTCCAGGATTCTTCATTCAGAGGTGAATAAAAAAAAACACATGGACCAGCTGCATAGCAACTGATCACTGCCAATCAGACTACCACAGTGATAAGGTGATCGGGAACCAGGAGATCCAGTTCCCAACCAGGTGATCGAGAACCAGGAGATTCAGTTCCCAACTCTTCGTATGAGGGTACCTAGGGCTGTTGCTGAGAGCCTGTTCTCTGTGCTGGGAGCATGCTATGCAGCATGCTCCCAATATAAACACTGTTTTGCATATATGTAGCATCACAGAAGAAGACCCACTTCAGTGAGGCCGCATATATATGTACAGGTGGCAGGAAGGAGTTAAGAATTATGTCTCCACTTTCCTCTTGTTTTCACAACTTTTTGTCTTTTTTTTCCTCATTTTTAGTTGGCGTTGTTGATGAAAACTGTACTATGAAGGCCAGTCCTGTGTCTGCATTGCAGTATAAAGCAGCACAAGAAGAAGTTGAACAACATCCACAACCATCACAGAACACTTCTAATGAGTCAATTCTGATGACTAATGATGATAATGGTGATGATGGCCTTGGCCTTTACCATTTAAGAGGTACCACTCGATACAAAATACCTGGATCAAAATATGAAACAACTTCAGTTTCCTCGGATATCTATACTTCACGAAAGCGCCCTAATTACAGTCCATGTGCTCATGACCATGAAGAAGAACATTCAAAGAAGAACATTTTCGAGGAACAGGAATCCAAGAAAATATTGTTAGAAGCTATCAATATATCTGATGATACCAGAGACACAGCTAGTTGTATGGACAATCAACTAAGAGTGCTGAATGACACAGGTTCAATATTTTTTGCACGGCTTAGTGAATTTAGTGACTCGTGGCGGAGTTTCCAAAGAGCAGTACAGAATCCGCAAAGGGAAATTCAACAACTGTTAAGTAAAACTCACACACAAGTGGAAGAGCTTAAAGAAAAAGACATTGTAATAAGCTACCTGAGAAAGAGCTTTGAGGAAAAAGATGAGAAAGTGTATCATCTACAAAGGGAAATAGAGGACAAGCAGAGGATGATAGAGGAGAAAGACAAGCTCATACATCAGCTGCAGGAGAACAGAGATAGGCCAGTTGACAAAATGCAAGAAGAACAAAGAGACAGAGTAGAACATTCAGCAGAAAAGCTGGAGGAGATCATACAGGAAAAGGAGAAACTTCAAGGTGAGGAGAAAGCAGAGGGGTTACCAGTACCTCTCAGAAAACGACGAGGAGCCAAGAAATGGACCAGTGAAGACATGAATGAACAAGATGGAGGTCTGGATGCCTCTAATACCAGTGAGCCTGAGACAATGGAAAACCATTCCACCCTGGAGTTCTTGTGGCGGAGGATAACTGAACTGGAAATCAGGGTAAAACATCTGGAATACACAACAGACAACCAGAGACATGAACTGGAATAAGTATAGACAGACTGTAAAGGAACAATCATCCCAAATAAATGGATATGAAGAGTTAGTGAACTCTCTGCTCAATAAAACTGAGCATATTAGAAAAATATGATGCCATTAACAAAAGGAGCTGAAGAGACGGAGATGGCTTGAATCTGCGAACACCAATGTTCAGAATATGTTATTTCTATCAAAAAAGAATAAAACAAAGCACACTCTCCTCATCCATTACCATGATTAAAATAATTTATTGTAAAAAGACAAATGGGTACTCACAAACCATTATGGTCATAAAAACAGAGATAAAGAGCCAAAGAAGATGGTCCCAGACAGTGGGGGTCCTTCGGTGGAATGAGTTAACGCATTTTGGAAGTCAAACTCCCTTCCTCAGAGCTAAAATGCTATACATGTTGATGGTCCATATAGAGGGGATAAAATGATAAGGAAAACCCTACTTCACTCCCTCCATGTGAAAAAAAAAAACAGGGGCGGAGCCTGCCAGGTAGAGCCCAAAAGGAGAGTCATATCAAAGTCATGTTGGTGTGTTTTTTTATATAAAAATGGTGCCCAAAGTGATCAGACCCCCATCTCAGA